CCCCCCCGCCAGGACTCGAAGCGTCGTTTCGGGGCCGCAGCCTGCGGGGCGAGGAGGTGGCGGTGCCGCCCGGCCTCGCGGGGTTCGTGCTGGAGGCGGAAGAAAAAGCAGAGGGGTTGGCGGGGAAGCCGGACTTCTCGGGACGCTCGGAGGACGACGACCAGGAAGAGGAGCAGCCTCTGGAGCGGGACTTCGTGAGCCGAGGGACGGGCTGGAAGGGGGTGCGGGCGGGCGGGCGCTCCGCCCCGGTGCTGAGCCCGGCCCCTTTCCCAGGACCGCTTCGTCGGAGCCACCGCCACTTTCGGCGGCTTCACCCTGTGGGGCCTGGAAGCCGTCCCGGGCCCTGACGCCAAAGTGCGCGGGGCCCTAACTTGGCCCAGCCTCGCGGCAGCGGTGAGTAGACGGGCCCCTTCCTGGAAGCTTGCCCCTGAGCGGGTTTTCGGAGCGTTTGGGCTTGGGAGCACGGCGGGGCTGCCGGGTCTGGCTGGGAGATTCTGCCGGGTAGCGCGTGGGAATCCGGATTTCCCGTCACTCTTTTCTGGCCTGTCTAGAGGGGGTTCTCTTCGGAGCACCTGGGTCCCTCCCCGGGTGTGTGGGCCACCCAGCCACTGTATCTTAGCGTCCAACCGTAGAGGTGCTGCCTGTTTGCAGATCCACGCACAGGTGCCCGAGGACTGAGAACTGGAGCTCGAAACTCAAAGCCGGATCCCATCACAGCAACAAACCAGCTCTTCGCCTCGGAGCCACTGATTCCATCACCCCAATAAACACTCTCCACAGCACCCGTGAGTCCGTGATCACTCTGGGGCCCCTAAGCTGACATGATCCCTTCTCTCACAGCAAGACCCTTTCATGGCTCTGGCCTATAGAAACAATTTATTGCCGGGCCAGGGGCAGTAGAGGCCAGAGTTTTGTGGCCAGCACCCACCCCACCCCCAACTTCTACTTCACAAAAGAAATTTTTACAATCACAAGCCCTCTGTACGAGCGCCCATTCCCGATCTCACTGTACACAGCTGCCTGGCTCCCTCTGGTCCCTGGTTCAGAGCAGGCCTGGGCCTGCAGCCAGCTGACTGTGGAGCTGGCCTGAGCCCCGAGTGCACCTCCGTGCTGGACACCAGCAGGCCCTGCCAGGCCTGTCCTCTCCTTTTGGAGCTGTCCTCAGCAGGTCTCCCTTGGAGTGCCTCTTGGAAGCCCCAGCAGGGACAAGGTGGGCTACCAGCCCCGGTCCTGCGGCCATCTCAGCACTTCAACGGGCAGTGCCTGGTCACCACTTTCCCCTCTTGCTCCAGTCCTTGGGAGTGAAGTGCAGACACTTGGAGTCGATCCGAAGGAGCCGCTTGAGCATAGCCCGCTCATGCCCATCCACGATGTCCTCAGACAGTGTGAGGATATACTGGCCCTGGGGGGAAAGAGATGGGCCCAGCAGGCGGTCAGCCCATGCCAGGCCTGCATGTCACCCCCACACGTCTCCCCCACCCGCCTCCCTACCTTGTAGTAGTTGATGAGGTTGAGGTACTGCAGGGTGGAGATGACGTCCTCCTTCTTGATGCTGGTGATCTCACTGATCTCGCTGTGGGAGGGCAAAGGTCAGGTCTCCTGAGGGCCTTCACCAGTCCCCAGGAGCCCCAGGGGGAGAACGCCCAGGAACAGACAGGCCAAGCCATGCACCCCCAGGCAGGCGGGGCCAGGCTCACTTGATGGTGATCTGTGGCCTCTCCCCGCTCTCTGACTTCAGTCCCATCAGGATCTCCAGGATGGTCTGGGACCAGTAACTTCGATAGGATAGCAGGCCCAGATCCGAGAGGGGCTTCTCAGGGGTCCCTGTTTTCCCTTCCACTTTGGAGAGTTCGTAGCCTAAAGCAATGAAGCAGGAGAGGGTAAACGAGCAGCCATGGAACACAAACATCTCAGAGCATGGGCTGCTGAGGCAGGCTGCCTAGGTCCTGTCCTGGCCCCACCACTTGGCAGTTGTGTGACCTTGGGTATGTGGCCTCTCTGCCCTGTGCCTCAGTTTCCTAATTCAGGACCAATGAGTATTTACTCTTCACCCGTGTGCTGAGCACAGTGAAGGACACTGAGAAGAGCAGCTGCACTCAACTGTGAGGGATGCCCAGGAACCAGTGTGAGCTCATGGGTGGAGGGAATGTGCAAGAAATGGCTAGTGGAAAGAAAGTGCCAACTTTTCTTTGCCATTCCAGACTCTGTCTGGGGATGTGGCGGGGAAAGGGGGGCAGATCCCCGTCTGTGGTCCAGGCCTGACGATGCCTGAATGCTCAGATCAGTCCTCCTAGTTGTGACCTTGGGAGTGTCAGCTGCTCCAAGGGTGGCCTGAACGGGTGGTGGAGGATGGTGGGGGAGACGGTGCTTCCCAGGGTGGAGGGAGGCCACTCCCGAGAGCCAGGCGACCTCTCCAGCAGCTCTTTCCCTCCTACTCCATTGACATCTGGGCACCGGCAGGCAGTTCCTGGCAAGATCCCCAGGCCCCAGAGAGCCCCAAGTGGCTGTCCATCCCTGTGGCAGGGTCTTCATTACACCCCATCGGGGTCCTGGGATGTCTGCTACTTCTAGAAGCCTTTTCTTGCCCTCAGCTCTAATCTGCCTCATGAGATAGACCTAGCCCCTTCTGTGTTCCTGCTGTTGGTACATCTGTATAGGCTAGTCTTGCCCTTTTGCCCCATTTCCTGTGGCTTCCACCAAATACCCCAGCGGCGAGAGTAACAGAGGCTGGTGTTTGGAGAGAGAAAGCACAAAAGGGGTAGGGGCACACGTGGGTGCCTGCTCAGGTCTGCTGGGCCCATACTGCATGTGGAGTCCTGGCCCACTGGAGCCACCATGTTCACCTCAGCTATAGGGTACTCCTGGTCCCTCTGGAGTGAACACCCACCCACCCCTGAGCTCCTCAGAGTGCTGCTTCTGGTGCCCTGCTGGACCCAGTTCAGTAGAACTGAGCAGAACTCCTTGGTGGCTCCACCCACATCCCCTCTCCATTGAGGTCTGAGCTCCATGACTGGGTTAGACTGAGCTTTGTTAAGCATCTACCTGATCTACTACCAGGCTGAGAACTTCCTGAGGCTGTGACCCCATCTGAGCATCATTCGACCAATAAAATTTCTCAAATGGACCGTGACCTTGCTCAAGTCAAGCCTCCCATGTCTTCATCAGGCAAACAGCTAAAACTTCCCTGTCTCCCAGCTCACAGCTTGGTTATTTCAAGAGTTTAGTGAGTGGTGAGGTGGGTGGAAATGGGGGAGGTGAGAAGGGGTAGGAGGTTGGGAGGCAGAAGAGGGAGCCCCAGGGTTAGGAAGGGCACTGAAGAGGCCATGTATGATGAGGGAGAGTCCCTTCTGGCTTGAAGAGGCTGTCATGACTAACAGAGAACAGGGGACAAGTCCACACTTATATCTGTTAACAGTATTTGGAACAGCTGCTGCCTACAAGACTCAGGAGGCAACAACTAGTCCTCACCCAAGAATTTGTATCATGGTGCACAGTACCAGACAGATGAGCAGCAGGGGATCACTGAGCTTCTGCCCATGGTCCTGAGCAGGAGATGAGTCAGATTTAGGGGCAATTAGGTGGCCCTTAGGACCTTGGCCAGCCAGGCACAGTGGCTCAGCCTGTGATCCCAGCACTTTGGAAGGCTGAAGCCAGAGGATGGCCTGAGCCCAGGGGTTTGAGACCAGCCTGGGCAACTTGGCAAGACCAAGCATCTCTACAATAAATCAAAAATTAGCCGGGCATGGTAGTACACACCTATAGTTCTGGCTGCTTGGATGGCTGAGGTGGAAGGATCACCTGAGCCCAGCAGGTCGACTCTGGGGTGGCCGTGAGTGTGCCACTGCACTCCAACCTGGGTGACAGAGTGAGAGACTGACTCAAAAAAACCCCAAAAACCTTGGCCAAGGAACAGTGTGGAGCTGAGAACCTACTGCAGCCAAGCAGGGCAGTCACCCTGAGAATGGAGAAAGCCTTACAATACCACTCCTTTATTTCTGGCTGCTCCCCTGGTGACGGCTGCACAGCCAGGGTTGAGAATGCCAGCCATCCGGCTCATGTGCACAGGAGGCACTGTGGGTATACTGCCCCCTGCCTGGGTAGCACACATACTCACTGAATTCAATCAGCAGCTTGCCATAGCCCCGGCGCTGATAGGGAGGCAGGGTTAGGATGCAGGCCACGTTGTAGTCTTCTGTTGATTCCTTCTCCTAGAAAAGAGGGGCAGGTGAGCATGACGGAAGGGGCCTGGCTCAGGGTAGGGCCGAGAGTCAGCCTGGGTGAACACTGACCTTGGAAAAGTAGCCCACGATGTGGAAGCCCTTGCAGTCATACTCTGTCATGACATAGAAGAGGAAGGGGTCTGTGTCATAGTATAGCGTCTTGTGGTCGAGGAAACACTTGGCCAAGAGACACAGATTCTGGGAGTAACTCTGCAAAGGAAAAGGTGTTACCACTCTGGGTACCCCACCTTGAGCAGCTTGGTCCAGGGTCAGCCAGGAGCTTCATTGTCCGTGCTGGGCCCCAGGCCGATTGGTGACAAGCATTCCTCCCAGGGCCTAACCCATTCTACCACTTGGGATGTCCCCACCACTAAGGCAGGGCCACTTCTCAGGGTTGAGGAACCCATGTACCGGCTCCGTGTGTCTGACTACCAGCTTCCATGGTGAGTTGGGCAGTATCCCCTTTGTTCCCCACACCTTCGTCTAAGCCTGGCCAGGTGCTTCCACTGCCCTCTATTGTATTTAACAACAGTCAACAAACTGACACGTTCACATGAAGTCAGACTCTGACCAAGGTTCCTGAGAAAAGGTTTCCCTGCTTGATAATCTTGGGAGTCTGGCTGTCAAAAAACCTAACACTCTAGGCCGGTACAATGGCTCATGCCTGTAATCCCAACACTGGGAGGCTGAGGCAGGAGGATTACTTGAGCCCAGGAGTTAGAGACCAGCCTAGGCAACGTACACCACATATCTACAAAAAAAAAAGACCTGATGCAGAAGGATCCCCTGAGCCCAGGTTACCAAGGCTGTGGTTGAACCATGGTGGTGCCATTCCAGCCTGGGTGACAGAGACCCTGACTCAAAAAAGAACAAAAACAAACACAACCTAATACCACTGTACCCACAGGCCTACCTCCTGGGAACTGATCTGCTGTTCTACCATGGAGGTAAGCAATTCTAGAATTTAACAAGATAACAGCCATGGGGGTTTGTCTAGCAACATTACAAACTTGCTTCTTTTTTTTTTTTTGAGTTGGAGTCTCACTCTGTCGCCCAGACCGGAGTGCAGTGGCCGCTCCTGGCCACCGCAGCCTCGACCTGCTGGGCTCCAGCAATCCTTCCTCCTCAGCCTTCCAAGTAGCTGGAACTACAGGCGCATGCTACCACACCCGGCTAATTTTTGATTTATTGTAGAGATGAGGTCTCGCCAAGTTGCCCAGGTGGGTCTCGAACCCACAGCTCAAGGCAATCCACCCACCTCAGCCTCCCAAAGCACGGGATTACAGGCTGAACCACTGAATCTGGCTCAAACTTGCTTCTTTACCTCTATACGCAAATTCTGCACTTCAGATGAGTTTTTAGCCACCTGCCGGGCTCTGCCACTGAATGCCCAGGTCCATACTTAATACAGAACAGTGGTTAACGGCAGAGCCTTCTCTCCTCTTCTGCTCCTCAGCCAGAATCATCTTTGTATTTTGTTTTGTTTTTTGAGTTGGAGTCTCACTGTCGCCCAGGCTGGCGTGCAGTAGCACACTCATGGCCACCCCAGTGTTGACCTGCTGGGCTCCAGCAATCCTTCCACCTCAGCCTTCTAAGTAGCAGGAACTACAGGCACGTGCTACCACATCCAGTTCATCCAAGTTGCTTGGGCTGGTCTCAAACCCTTAGGATCAGGCAATCTACTCGCCTCAGTCTTCCAATGTGCTCAGATTACAGGCTAAGCCACCAAGGCCAGCCAATCTTTATCTTTTACACAGGCCATCTCTGTGTGTCCATGCCTGCCCCTCACAACCCCACTGCTTGCAATTCCCTTAGCTACTCCATCCTCCATGTCAAGGCTCAAAGGTCACTTCCTCCATGAAGCTTTGCTGACCACCTCCTAAGTGACCCTTGGCATGTCTCTCTCACCTATGGACTAAGCTGTCAGACAGAGATTGTGTCTAATTCTTGGTCATCTGCATGCCCCCTAGCACCTGGCCTCCAGCAAGGACTCAATAAAAATGGGCTGAACTGTTGACCTGGAGGGTCAGTGTTTTCCTGAGTAGCCCAGGGCCCCACTGCCCCATAGCTGCTAACCTTGTTCTTACGTCCATCAATCTCAAAGAAGGAAATGGTGCCCTTGCGGTAAATCTCATTGCCTGGAGGATGTCGCAGGTCACACTTGGTCTGAGGAAGAGAGAAGGATCAGACACAAGAGCAGAGCAAGGGATGCTGGGAAGGCAGCCTCCCTGGACCCTTCATACCAAGTGACGCTGAAGACACTTGAGGCTACGGCCATACTTGAGGCAGAACTCGCACAGGTAGAGGACAGGCAGTGTGGTGAGCTCTTGTGGGTATGGAGAGAAGTACCACGGCTTGAGGCGGTGCCGGCCCAGCTCGATGCACTCAATGTTCTTCATCCGGGTGACAATGTCGTCGTGGCTCCGGTCAGACACCAGGCTCCCAGTCATGCGCGGTGCTGATGGTATTCCATCTGAGCTGTCCTGGGAGTCCTGCCCAGGGCCAGTAGAAGACACCAGGTTACAGGGGACAGCTCAGCACACTACAGCTCACAACCCTTTCCTTCTGAAAGCCTAACAGCAGTCCTATGGGGAAGGTGCCACAGTCGCCACTTTCCAGATTAAAAAACAAACTCTGAGGGAGTGACAACTTAGAAAAGAGTCCCCCAATCCCACCAACACCGTCACTGTCCACCACCCCTTATTTGTTCTTAAACTAGTCACTAAATAAACTCTCCAACTTGCCTACATCCCCTCCTTTTTCCCCAGCTCCCCACTTCTGCTGCTCCCCAGACTCACCTCATCAGTGCCCAAGCAATTCGATTTTCGCTTCCGTCCTGGCTGGGCTGCCACTGCCCTACGGGCAGATCCATTCTGTAGATGAGATGGCAGAAATAAAAGGGCTGCGAGATGAGCCTAAAAGAGGCTGTCAGAGGGTCGAAGAGATGAAGGAAAAATAAATGGTTTGGGGAACTCACCTGGGGAAAAACCGAGGCTGGGGCTGTCTCGCTGGGCACTGGAGTTGCTGGCGAAACCACCTCCACCTTCCGTTTCTGCAGAGAGAAACCAAGAAAGGTGGGTCAGAAGGTAGAGAAGGCGGGACCTGAGAGGAAAGCAAGGTCCCTGGAATTGCTGAGGGTACCGTTGAGCGGTGGTTGGGCTGCAGGCAGGAGCTGGAGGAGAGCGGCTGGTCGGGCTCGCCACCGGGAATGGCCTCCCGCTCCTTGGGCAGGTTGAAGCGGAGTGTGATCTGGACCGGGATTGGCAAGGTCTTCCCGCTGGCCTGGGCGGAGGCCGGCTGTAGAGATAGGTCCAGGGTCTTCCTCTGGGGCGGGGGTGGTGGTGGGATGGGGAAGGGGAGGTGGGGCCCTTAAGCATAAAGTGATCAAACCCCACCCTCTGCCTTTTCAAGGACACAGGAATAGCTACTGGACTCTGGGGGCAACAAATGCAATTTAGCCCCCATCCTTTGCAAGCTGAAGTCAGAGTGGGATAATGCCGCCTCCTAAGGCCAAGAGATGAAAGAAATAGGAGAAAAGAGAGAAGATGTAAAGTGGGGGACCTACTCACCACCTCTCTCTCTGGAGAGCCGGGACGCGACCCAGGAAGTCCGTTCTTGGTGGGGGTCTTGGCCTCTTTCTTGGGGAACTGAATCTTCTTCAGGTCCAGTCGCTCGTGGGTCACCCATTCATCCAGGCGTTTGTTGACTGTAGCAGTGGGGTTGGCTCAGGAAGGAATGCCAGAGACTGCCCCCAACCCCGCCCTCTTCCCCATCTCACCCAGGCCCAGAACTCACAGTCAATGTAATGGACGTAGAAAAGCTTCCGGCCGCTGATGTCCTTCACGCTCAGGATTTCGGCCAGGGCTGTGGGAATAGCACAGGCAGGGGCCTTAGACGGGCCAGGCCGTGAGACTCCACCCTTCCACGACCTGAACTCCACCCTGTGCCAGATCTCTAAGCCCCAGCACTCGAAAACCCTCATCCAAACCTCCTTTAGTCACCAAATGCCACCCGCTCTTCAAGCCCCGCCCTATTCATCGCGGAGCGGATAAAGGCCACGCCCCTTCTTCGGAGTATCAGCGCCCCGCCCGCCCCAGGATTCCGGAGGCCCCTCCCCCTCCCGGGGGTTCAGTTGACTCCCTCCCGCTCCTCGCTCTCAGGTTCCTTAGCCCCGCCCCCCGACGTCACTCACGCCACTCATCTTCGTTGTCCTGGTTCCGCCGCAGCACGGGTAGTCGGCAGCCCTCGATTATCTCCCCCTGGGGAGACAGCGCGGCGCCAGGGTCGGCTACTGGGGGGCCTCGGGCTCTACCCACCTCCCCTGGCTCCCTCCGCCCCGCCCCGGGCACCGGACTCACCACCTCCGCCATCTTCCCTCCCTCCACTGCCACTTCCGGCCCCTCTAGGGTACGTCACTTCCGGGACGGGGTGTGCTGCAGGCCTGGGCCCTCCGAAGCCGCTTTGGAAGAGGACCCCTAAGTGATACTGCCACCCGGCCTCAGGCGGGGAGACGACCCGCCCGGCTAGGGGGAGAATAGGTTGTTTGAAGCCTCGGGCGGGATCCTGGGTGGAACCCTCCACAACGTGCACCGCGATTGGAGAAAAGCTGAGTCCGTCACGTGACGCCCACCGGGTGCGACGCCGGTCACGTGGCGCTAGTGTTTAGCTTGACTGGGCGGCTCCTGGCGGTGGGAGTGAACTGCGCATGCTCGGCGGGGTCGGGCGGAGAGGGCGGGAAGCCGCTGGTTGGCACACAGGAGAAGTGAGCAGGGTACAGGGGCTTGAAGGCTCCGCCAGTCTGTGTACTTCGTCCTGCAGGCAGGAGGACGTCCGGAAGATTTCTAACTTTGTTGTTTTGTATATAGGTTTCTGCTTGCAAAGATAGGACGCCGGGCGCGGTAGCTCACGCCTGTTATCCCAGCACTTTGGGAGCCCGGGGATTCGAGACCAGCCTGGACAACTTGGCGAGACCGCGACTCTACAATAAATAAAAAATTAGCCAGGCATGGTATCTCACGCCTGTGGTTCCAGCTACTTGGAAGACTGAGGCGGAAGGATCACCGAGCCCAGCAGGTCGAGGCTGCAGTGGCCGGGAGCGTGCCACTGCACTCCAGCCTGGGCAACACAGTGAGACTCCGACTCAGAATAAAATAAAATAAAAAATAAAGATAGGACTTGCATTATTCGTTCGTACAGTCAACAAATAGCCCCTACCGTATGCGAAGCACAGTTCTAGGTGCCCAGAAAACGTCCCTGAACAAAATAAAGACCTGTGTCCTCACGGAGCTTACACTTATGGGTGCTGGGAGGGAAGATACCTGGTATAGGTAATAAGCAAGGAATATATTAAGTCAATGCGTAGCGTATTTGAAAGGACATAACGTGGAGTCAATGTGCCCAATGAGCAGCCATTTTAACATCCCTTAGTTTTGTCATGTTTTTCTAGGAGTTCAGTTTCACTTACCCTCTAATCACTAGCCAAAGACAGAACCGGTTTCTCATAGGTAGCTGTTGACAGTTTCTTTGCCACCCCCTCCCCAGCTTGTTACTAATTAGCTTTTCTATTGCAAGTATTTGCCTTCACCCATAAGACCCAAGTTAACCTTATCAGCCCATTCTGGCCTACATGACACAGACCCCCACCACCATGGCAGCAGTCATGTGACTGACCCACCTATCCACCTGCTGTCCATCATCTGATGACATTACCTGTGCTCACCTGTCCTTGATGTAAAGCAGACCACCATGGGATCCCCTACCAAAGGAAAGGTATAAAAGGCATTCAACTTCAAACAGCAGTCCTCATTGTTTTGTTAAGCACTGGCCAGCCCATGTGCTCTTTGAACTATGGCCTCCATGTTTTCTTAGATTTGGCCCCCTCCCTTACCTTGGGGAGGTGAATCTCCTCTCTCTCTAATTTACTTTCTAAATGAACTGCGTTTTCTTTTTCTTTTTGTTATTATAAAGATGTGGGGTACAATTCAGAGTTAGGTATACAAACGTTGATTATGCAAATACCCTTGATGGTATTTGCCCCTCCCTCCCCTAGCAGTTTCCCTCAACTGCCAATCCCAGCTGCCCTCCCCAGTAGTAGTTTCCTTCTACTGCCAATTTCTTTCTTATAGTATTATAATAATTGTTCAGGGTCCGCTTATGGGTGAAAACATATGGTACTCTGTTCTTTGTTTCTGTGATAGATCACTGAGTATGATCGACTCTAAATTCATCCAAGTTGCTGCAAAGTCCATGTGTCTGTCCTTTATGGCTGCATAATATTCCATTGTGTAAATGTACCACATTGTTTTATCCAGTCCAGCTACAATGGGCAACATGGTTGGGTCTATGTTTTTGCTATTGTGAATAGAGATGCAACAAACGGGTGTGCAAGTATCTTTTTTGTAGAATGATTTGAGTTCCTCCAGGTATATTCCAATAGGGGAAATTGCTGGGTCATATGGAAGGTCAATTTCTAGTTCTTTCAGAAATTGCCACACTGTCTTCCAAAGAGGTTGCACCAGTTTGCATTCCCACCTGCAGTGTAGAAGCATTCCTTTTTCTCCGCATCCTCGCCAGCATCTGTTGTTTGTTCTATTAATGACTGCCATTCTTACTGGGATTAGGTGGTATCTCAATGTGGTTTTGATTTGCATTTCTCTGACGATGAGTGAGACTGAGTGCCTATTCTGTGTCTCTTGGCTGCCCATATATCTTCTTTTGAGAAGTGTCTATTCATGTCTTTTGCCC